GGGGGGGGGGAGATGATGCTCGTTGCAGGCAGAGGGTCCCCTGCCCAAGGTGCAGCATTTCTTGTAGGAACGTTCTTAAGGCTGTGGTTGCTGGGAAGGCTCATTCTCTGCCAGAGACCCTGGACAGTGAGCTGGCAGGGTAGACCGTCCTGTGGGGTGAGGTGGATCAAGACTGGCCATGGGTCCTTCCTCGCTCCATTAGGAGATGCCAAGGCTTGCACCGGGAACCTTCTACCTGTGAAGCAGGGGCCCCTCTCTGAGATCCAGCTTCTGTCCTTTCTGCTGCTCCCGAGGTGGCCAACGTGTTGCTTGGGCTCCTCTAGGTGTTCAACTGTTCGGCCCCAGACACCGGCAACATGGAGGTGCTAGTGCGTTACGGCACGGACGCGCAGAAGGAGCGCTGGCTGCAGCCCCTGCTGGAAGGCAAGATCCGCTCGTGCTTCGCCATGACTGAGCCGCAGGTCAGTGGCCCCGCTGGAGGACCGTGGCTCTCCTTGTGGGTGGGACAGGAGCCTGGAAGGGAGGGAGCAGGGGGCGCAGTCGGATCCCTGGGGGAGCCGTTCCAACCGGGTCAGGGTCTTCTGGAACTGTTGTGTTCTTTTTAATGAGGACAGGTGATGTTTTGCTTTGTTTCCCCCTCCCTCAGGTTGCTTCCTCTGATGCCACCAACATCGAGGCTTCCATTGTCGAGGAGAAAGACGCCTACATCCTGAACGGGCGGAAGTGGTGGATTTCAGGTCTGTCCCCAAACAGCTCTGGCGTGGGTTGCAGGGCTTCCTCTTCCAGCTGCCGCTTCATCGTACTCGAGATGAAGAATGCGAGGGGCTTCTCAAAGAACAGGCTGTGTGTGTCCTTTGTGTGGCGCTTGCAGGTTCTCTGGGAGGGGGAGACACCAGGAGGCACTGCCTAGAGGCTTTCTCTAAGAATGCCTCCTGTTCTCCCAGGAAGGGAGAACCAGAGAAGGAGCAATCATCCTACAAAGAGAACGGCCCAGGCTTTCTGAAGCTGACGGACTCTTCCTCCTTAGGATTCCTTGCTGCCTGGCGAATACTGGCAGCTGCACCCCAAAAACCTAAGTCAACAAGCGTCTAATTTTTAAGACAAGGCGACAGGACTTTGGGTTGTAAGATGAAATATAGATTCAAAGGCCTGTTCAGCCTTGGGCACTCACTGGCGGGTGGGGTGGAACTGGAAGAACCCACTCCTTAAATCTCTCACTTGAAAGCCTCGTTAGGATCTCTATAAGTCCCTCCTGACTTGACGTCACATAACTATCTTAAGTTCAGAATTGCAACAGTACAGGAGGTGTGTGGCCCTCGTGTGCCTGACTGGGCATCTTTCTGCCTGCCCGCCCGCTGCGGCTGAATCACTGCAGTGCCGCCTCCTAACAGGGCAGGTGAAGAATGGAGAGGGCAGGGCTTAGGGACCCAGAGCAGGGGCGCACTCCGACGTCCCCCAAGGGACCCCCGGCCCTCAGCCCTTTCTTCCTGGCAGGCTCCCTGGACCCCTGCTGCAAGCTCTGCATCTTTATGGGCAAGACGGACCCCACCGCTCCCAGGCACCGGCAGCAGTCGATGGTCCTGGTTGCCATGGACACCCCGGGAATCACCGTCACCAGGCCCCTCAGTGTCTACGGCTTGGAGGACGCTCCAGGTGAGGCAGGGCTGTAGCGCTGGGGGTTGGGGCGGGGTGGAAGGGCAGGCCTCTGCGCAGGTCGGACGCCTGCCTTACAGACCAAGGATCCCCTCACTGGGGAGACCGTCTCCTCGGACGGCGCCGGGAGAAAAGGACCCTCTTCTTCAAAGATCAAGTCATGCGTCACGCCTGTTCTAGTGAGATTCAACCAGGGAGAGAGGCGGAGGAGAATCCATCTCAGACCGACTTAGAATCCACCCAGATTGTTCAAGAGGAGGTTCTTGATCACGGCAGGTGTTGGGAGAGCAGTAGGAGGATCAGCCTGGGGACCAAAAAGGCAGCTAGGACTTCCTTTCGTACCAGAATACGAAGGACGGTATCTCGAGTAGAAACGCCTGCCTTGTCTGAAGACACTTCTGTCATTTGGTTCCCTGGTTAAAAGGATGAGGAAGCAGGTGATGGAGAGATCCTTTTGTTTTTGGCCACAGTGCACAGAGAAAAGTGCTTGCCAGGAAAGAGCAGGCGGTCTCGTTAGAAGGCCGCTTCCTCTGTTTCTGATTTGGCGTGTCCCTCCCTTTCCAGCCGGCCACGGGGAGATCACCTTTGAAAACGTCCGCGTCCCTAAGGAGAACCTCTTGCTGGGCCCCGGCCGAGGCTTTGAAATAGCCCAAGGCAGGCTGGGCCCGGGAAGGATCCACCACTGCATGAGGCTGATCGGCTCCGCAGAGAGAGCACTGGCTCTCATGAAAGAACGGGTGAGCAAACCTCGGGGGGGGGGCGATCCAAGCTGGGACCTCCCTGGGTCGTAGCTGGCGCTGGCCATAGGATACTAGCCAGAAAAACGCCCTTTAAAAAAACTGGAGGCCCTACCTGTGCTCGTTCACAGGTAGCCTCTCGTGTGGCCTTCGGGAAGCCCCTGGCTGAACAGGGCACCATCAGGGCTGACATTGCCGAGTCCCGCATGGAGATCGAGCAGGCCCGGCTCCTTGTCCTAAAGGCCGCCCACCTCATGGACACCGTCGGGAATAAGGTACGACGCTCAAAAAAATGTGGGAGGGGTGGTCGTATCCTTTGGAAAGGAAAGCAATTGATCTGGTCTTGTTGTTGTTGGGTTTTTTTTAACCACAGAGTATGCACCCCATGATGATCTTTCAGGTTATTTCCCAATTTAAGATTCTAAATTCAAGTTAGATCATTGATTGAGGGGTGGGTGGGGTCTCCTCTTACATACGTGGCAAAGCCTTCAGCAAGGGCCGACCAGCTTATCATTTTGGTTTGCGTTGGCGCTCTTGCAGGAGGCAGCTTGTGAGATTGCCATGATCAAAGTGGTGGCTCCGAGGGTGGCTCAGCGTGTCATCGACCGGGCGATCCAAGTGAGTCGTTGCGTTGGTGGGCTCTTCCTTCCGACCCCCGTCCGGCTTGCCTGACCTCTCTTGCTGTCTTCTCCCACATTGTGGCTTACCCCTGCCCCACGGGGGACCTAATTTACTCTGCTGAAAAGCTACCGGAACCGCAGAACTGCAGTTTTAAAGATTTGCTGGGGTCTTTCTTTTCCCTTTTCTCACAGGCCTTTGGAGCCGCTGGGCTCAGCAACGACCAGCCGCTGGCACAAGCTTTTGCCTGGGCACGAGCCCTCCGCTTGGCTGATGGCCCCGACGAAGTCCACCGGGCAGCCGTCACTAAAATGGAATTGAAAACAACAGCAAAGAGAGGACCGGCGGCGGATTGAAGTCCTGGCGGCTGCAGTTGACATAAAAAGAGTCTCTTGGATAAAGGGCTCCGTAGACCAAGCGGGTCTCTTTATGGTTTGGCCTCCCAACTGATTTCTCTGGGTCGCTGCAGCACACAGAACTCTGCCGATTACGGGCGGGTGGGGAAATAGATCGCAGGGAAATGATGCACGTGAGATTCAACCCAATCCTCACTGATGCTGCTTGGGTTGTGTGTCCTTGAATATATACTGGGGGAACACCCAGAATTCACTGACAGCTGGAACCTTTCTGTTTTTCTTGACTGCCAAGACAAGAAAGGTGTTTTGTTTTGTTTTTTTTGCCCAGTCCCCTTTGAGGAGACTCGGCTACTATGCAAGCCAATGTTTGTCTTTATATTCTGCTTTTTGGCATCCTTTTTGGTGGGGGGGGGGCAGAGAAGATGTTACTGATACCACCCACCATTATTACCCCCACCCCATGGACTCTGCCAGACAACTGTTATCCGGTTTCACACCCTGATGGCCATTCACTGAGAGATTTATCACAAGAGTGGAAATCAACAGACTTGATTCTGAATTAGCAAAATAAACATGGTTGCCTTTGGATTTTTCTCCTCCTCTCTTTCTTTCCTCTTGTGGATTGCAGTTCGACACCCACAGGCGGACGTTCGTGTGTATCCAGAATCAGAAAGTTAGGGAGTGGGGGTGCGGGGTTTCTGTTCGGCTTTCTCCCTTTCAGCCCAAACTGCTGATCGTGGGAAGGGTACCAAACAAAACAAAAGCCACAATCAACACGTTGAAACTAAAGGTCCATTAAAGTCAGCTGATTCCAGCCCCAGGACCTCCTAGAGAGAAAAACCCTAAAGAAGATTTAGCCTGCTGGAATTTTAAGAAATGAGGGGCTCTTGCTGGGCTTCCTTGAGCAGAAGAACTTGGATAACTCAAACATCTTGACCATGTCCTGTATCTTAAAACCCGTAGCTAGGGGGGGGGGGGACCCGACTGCTAAGATAAGCGACTCTATGGCCAGTTCTGTTCTCTGCCTTTTTGGACGTCCAGATGTTGAGAAACTCCTGCTTCCTCTGCCATTTAACTTAGCCAATAGGCTCACGTTTTTTAACAGGGCCCTGAAAATGTTGAGGCGGGAGAATGTGTAATAAAACAGCACTGACTTCCATGTAACACGGGAACCGCCATTCTTTCCCCCAGTACCTACACCTCTCTGTGACATTTGCCTTTTCCCCCAGGGCCCAGCTTGCCCAAGTGTGCTGCGTGGCTCTGATGCTTGCACTTTAAAAAAAAAAAAAATGCCACCATAGCCAAATAAAGACCATGTGTTGTTTGAGGAAAGCACTACACAAAAAAGCTCCCCCCTTTTGCTGTGCACACACCTGGTGCAGTTAAATGACAAGGGGGCTACGGGAAGGTCTCCCCTTGTCGCCGTTGTCCTGCAGCAGCTTCAGGGTGCTAAAGGTCTCTGGTTGGCGCTAGATGAAGAGACTGGTGTAGTTACTAAAGCTAAGATTTGCCTGCCCCTAAGCCGGCCACCCTTTCTTGCCAACAAGGAATTAATTCAGAATGGTAAAAGCCTGCCTTTACTTGGGGGGGGGGGGAT